TAAGGAGATCCCTTGCGGCCTGTGATTACAGAGAAGAACACGTCGCTTTTTTAGTGAATGCCATCAAGCAGCCCTACGACTCAACGCGGCTCAAGCAAATCGATCGCGACATTGACGAATGTTTCTCAAGGCTAAGCTACGATGGGAAGAACGGCTTGAAAGAGTACGTCAGGAAGTATGGTCAAAAGGAACGCAAGCGGCCCAGAGACATGCTGCTCCGGGACCCGGACACGAAAGACGAAGTGATGCAGCTGAGAAAGCAAACGGCATTTCTGGGATACTCGTGGCGAAAGCCTCGAAGCAGGCTCCGGCCGGCTCCTGCACGGTTCGATGATGAACCATACGATGCCGTATTGCAGGGCGAAACGTTCGCATACCCTTCGCAGATTGAAAGCCTGCAACCAGCTCAAACATTTTGATCAGAGGTGGCTACTGGTGTAATGGCGTTTGATGGGGTAAACGAAAAAGAGGTATTGGATAGAAATAAGACATAAACATTATCGTGTATACACAGGCTCTCCTATCATCGCCATCGATACGATTCTGGGGGTTGCCGCTTACAAAGGCTTTTCCATCCCTGAGGCCCTCCCAGATTTCCAAAGTGCTTGACTCTTGGCATTCTTCATCTCCCATTCGAACTCCTTGAGAGCCCTCAACTCTGTGTTGAAAAATAGCAATGACAAGAGCCCATCAATAACACCCGCAACCAACCCGAAGCTGCTAAAGAGCATCAGAATGAAGGCCACAGCGTTGTGCTTACTCCACCACACGCCTACAAGACAGACCCAAAGAACAGTGAACCAGAAAGCGAAGTGCATGCCCCTGTTAAAACGCTGCTTCTCCTCACGTGTTACGTATTCACGCACTGCCGAGAGGATACTGTCGTACTCAGCATCGGAGAGGGACAGGCTCTGCAGGAGGTAGGGTTCAAGCTGAATGGACAGCCTGGCGGACAGCCTGGGATCTCTGCGGATCCTGGTCGGGTGATATGACAGCGTCGCCTCGACGGAGAAGTGGTCGCTCAGGGAACAGCCCAGGGTGGGATGAGGCTCTACCATGCCGACTTCCGCCTCCTTGATGACCCACTCCCCGCCGTTTGGATCCGTGGGCGCGCCGAAGAAGATGTAATCCAAGCGCTTGCCCTTGAGATCAATCGTGTCTGGGGGCATGACGACGGGCTGTTTGCCCTCGCCGAGTTTCTTTTGGAGATGCTTGGGCCAGCGCCAGGTGTTGAAGGGCCCGTCCGAGGTTGCGCCGTTCTCGTGGAGGTTGAAGTCCGCGGTGGGCGCCGGGCGCCCGCGGGCTTTCTCGAGTGGGTCCTCCACGGCGCCGAGGGACGAGTCCGGGTGCAGCTCGCGCCAGACGTCGCGGACGGGGGCGTGGGCGGTGATGATGCGGTGGGGCAGGCTGAGGGGCCGCATGTTGAAGTCGCCCATGGCGAGGACGAGGTGGCCCTTCTCGGCGGCGCCGCGGCAGAGTTTGGACATCTCCCAGGCCTGGGCGAGGCGGTGGGCGAGGTAGCTGTCGCCCGGCTGGTTCTCGGTGTAGGGCGAGTGGGTGTGCGTGTTGAAGATGCTCAGCGTCTGCTCTCTGGTGGTGGCGATGTCGTCTTCGCCGGCGGCGACGGGGATGCGGATCTGGGCGCACGCGATACCCTTGCCGACGTACCAGTCGCCGCGCCAGAAGGCGGTGGGACGCCCGTTGAGAGGGTAGCGGTGCATGGAGGACTCCACGATTGGCCATCGCGAGAGGATGGCGAGGCCGCCGCCAAAGGGGCCCGAGTAGTAGAACTTTGCGTAGGGGAGGATGGGGGCGAGGGTGTGGCGGATGGATTCGAAGTCGGCTGTGACCCAGCACTCTTGCAGGCAGACGATGTTTGGCGGTTTTGGGAGGGAGAGGATGCGCCGGCCGATCGCCTCGAGGCGGGCGGCGCGGAGGGTGGAGATGTACTTCAGACCCCAGCAGTTCAAGGTGAGGAGGCGAAGGTCATTTGGATTCTCCATCTTGACGCTGTTGAGGCTGCTGAGGGATTGCATCTGGATGTGTTGGGATGGGGGTGAGCTGTGTTGCCTGAGAAGCTGGGCGGATTCGTATGGGCTCTCCATCTTGGCGGTGGTAGCGGGGTGAGTGTGGGTGTGGTGGGTGGGATGGGGCTAGCTAGTGTTTCTTTAAGAAGCTGGGCTGATGGGCGTGGTGATGATGAGGACGGTTAGATCTGGTTGCATTGAGGCATGGACGGATGCGGTGCGGTCAAAGGTGCGCCGAATGTTCCGCAGCAATGCAGATTGAGTGAAAACTCTTCAAAACGGCCAAGCTTCATGATCATAGCCTCAGGTTTGAACTTGAACAAGATGAGACGAAGCCATCGCCCATCGCTCAGACTGACTCTCCAAAAATGACGTTGCGCCGTGAACTCTCTCCGCCGTCGGCAGCCGGCCGGGGGTTCGGGAGGGCCCCATTTTTACGTGCACCTCAACGGCGCCGCTCCACCAGCAGAACCCCCCATTGACCAATCGGCAGCCGCAGTGTCACTGCAGCATTCCAGACCCGCTGAATTGCTTCTAGCGTCCCCCAGCGACCCTTTGGCGATCCGTGCGGTGGGACGAGGCTGACAGTGCGCTTTACCGCCAAACGTCAGGCCCCCTGCTCCCTGCTGCTACTCCTTGCTGCTGCTTCCAAAAGTTCGTGTCCATCGTCACTTTCAGCCTTGTCCTACCCTCTTTCCCTTGCCGCCCGACGGTTCCTCCTCTTTCTCCCTTCTGCCCTCGACACCGACATCTGCTTCCACAACCTGCGGCTTTCCCGACCCAACAAGATCGACGCGACGACCGCGGACGGTCCCAGAAAAAATGCCAGACCTCAACTCCCCAGCACTCTCGACGCCCCTCCCCGAACCGCCCCCGAAACGTCGCAAAGTCCTCGACCAGACAGCAACCCCCCGCTACAGCTCCCCCGACGAGCTGACGGTCACCGGCGACGAGCTGGCTGCCTCAATCGCCGGAAAACGCACAAAAACAACCCACCGCCGCCGCCTGTCCACCCAGCGAGCCCGTCCTAGCATGACGCCTAGCAGGTCCCCAAGCGACGACGAGCTCAACGGGGCGTACTACTCCCGCTCCTCCCGCTCCCGCTCCCGCTCACCTCGCTCCCCGACCGCATCACCCTCGCGCTCTCCGACGCCCGCCTCCACGTCCCGGGGCTCGTCATCCCCACGGAGCCTCGCAGACAACGTCGACCGCAGACTGCGACTCTCGCCCGGCGCCGAAGACGACGCAGAAGTCACGACGGGGGGCGCAGCCACCCCGGCGACCCCGGCGCGCAAGGGTCCCGTGCGGCCGACGTACCGCGAGACGCGCGTGCTGAGCGGCCACAACGGCAAGCCCGTGTCGCAGGTGCGGATATCGCCCGACGGCAGGTGGATCGCGTCGGCCTCGGCGGACGGCACGCTCAAGATCTGGGACGCGGACACGGGAAAGCACATGGACACGCTGGTGGGCCACATGGCGGGCGTGAGCTGCGTGGCGTGGAGTCCCGACAGCGGCACCCTCGCGTCCGGCAGCGACGACAAGGCGATCCGGCTGTGGGACAGGGTCACGGGCCGGCCCAAGGTCACGGCCAAGGGCATGGGCAGCGTCCTGGCCAAGGAGGCCAGCAGCCACAGGCCGATGCCGCCGCTGCTGGGGCACCACAACTACGTGCACTGCCTGGCCTTCTCGCCCAAGGGCAACATCCTCGCGAGCGGGAGCTACGACGAGGCCGTCTTCCTGTGGGACGTGAGGGCGGGGAGGCTGATGAGGAGTCTGCCCGCGCACAGCGACCCCGTGAGCGGAATCGACTTTTGCTGCGACGGAACCTTGGTCGTCAGTTGTTCAACCGACGGACTGATGTGAGTCACCCTCCCTCGGGGAGGACTGTGTGAGATGCTAATGAAGAGTGACAGCCGTATCTGGGATACATACACGGGCCAATGCCTGCGCACCCTCGTGCACGAAGACAACCCCGCCGTCACCTCCGTCTGCTTCTCGCCCAACGGCCGCTTCGTCCTCGCCTTCAACCTCGACAACAGCATCCGCCTGTGGGACTACGTCTCGGGCGCCGTCTTGAAGACGTACCAGGGCCACGCGAACAACAAGTTCGCCATCGGAGGGTGCTTCGGCATCGTGCCCGACGAGGGGGCCTTCATCGCGTCGGCCAGTGAGGACGGCGAGATTGTCCTCTGGGACGTGGTCACCAAGGAAGTCGTCCAGAGGATGCCCGCGCACCGACAGGACCGGGACGGCAAGGGGAGCGTCTGCTTCTGGGTCGATGTCCACGGGGACAACATGGTCAGCGCGGGCCAGGATGGGTCTATCCGGATTTTCAGGAGAGTGGTCGCCAACGGCAGTGACGCTGCCGCTGCCGACGCTGTTTTGACGAATGGACACGCGCAGGCGGACAAGGTGGACGAAGCGAGGATCACGGAGCCGCCGATAAAGCAGGAAGAAGACATGGAGATGGGCGGGACGTGAAGAGTGAATGATGCTGCTTTGTGAAGGGCGCGACAACATACTTACTTGGGAGGAGTTATGAAACGAAAAAAGTCCCGGCATTTACTACTATTATTACCTACATTTGATACCACGGGAAAAAGGAGATGTCTGCTCGGGTCAGGACCTGGATTTTTGAGGGGGAAAGCTTTCTTCTTCGCATCAAGATGCAATGTGCTATGTGATCTAAGGTACCATGATGTGATGATCAAAACAATTTGGCCGGCCGCCGTCAAAACTCCTTGCGTGTCAAGCTTCCAACAACGCGCAACCGAATCGGCAGATGGAAATGCGCAAAAGTCTATCCACTAGATGGGCTATCACTAGAGGGAAACAATTCTAGCCGCCAATGTACTCCGTTCCGCCCCCGCCTTCTCTCTCTCTCCGTTCATTGCCCAACCTCACGAAAGTCGGGCCCCTTTCTTCCTTTCAGAACTCAATCGTTTGTACATACGAACAGTTAACCTCCGCCCATCAAATCGTCTCCCACCCTCCGTTGTTAATCTCCGCTTCCAGCTTCCGGCTGATGAAGCTGGGGATGCCGTGGCTGAGGAATGTGTTTCTCAGCATCGAGTCGTAGCGCTTCTGGTTCAGGTACAGCTGGCGGCCATGGCGCAGTCCTAGATCCGTCTCGCCGTACTTGTCAATATAGGGGGCGCTGCTGAAGGAGCCCGAGAGGCGGAAGAGGTAAAAGATGCAGCATTTGCGAATGTTGAGGAACAAGCCAATGTTCTTTTGACACCTGGACGCGATTTCAGTCAGTAAGGGGTTTGCGAGGGGTCAAAGAATGTGGTCACTCACTTTCGCATATGTTGCTGCGAGCCGCCAATCCTCTGGGGCTCGCGGTCTCCGGATGACGTCTCCTCCTTGAGGCAGCAGACCGCCTGGCCGCAGAAGACTTCACCACAGAGCAGGCAGATCATGGGGTCGGAAACATCCTTGCCGGTCGTGGGGCACTTGCGCTTGGTGGCTTCTTCTATGAGGGCATCGTAGTTCTTGGGCAGTCCCACCAGCTCAAATATGCCGGGGTGGCTGATCAGAGCGGTACTTGGAAGGTTGCCCTCAATGTCTCCAGGCCACATGATCTGGTGCCGGATCCAGCCGCTGACGAGACCCGTGGTCGAAGCTGGCCAGCCGCAGGATGGGCCGTGGTCAGTAACCGCGGCGCACATTTCATCGAACGACGGGACGCGGAGGGCTTCGGTCAGACGTTCCAGCTCGTCTGCATCAGGTTGGGGAGAGACGTGGCTGTTGAAGTCGATGCCGTACTTGACGTAAAGAAGAACGATGCTCTTCCTCAAGAACGTCAAGGCGTACTTCTTGACAAAGGTGTAGTAGCCCTCCAAGTTGTCCAACTCGGGCTGGCTGAACCCGCGGTTCTCGCCCAGGTCTTTGGGCATCTCGTGGGAAGACACGTTGATCTCCATGCGGACCTTGGTGATTGCAAGGCAGAACTCGGCAAAGTTCTTCAGCGCCGGATCTTGCGTGGACTTGTTGAGAAGATGACCGACCCAGGTGGATACTTGAATGTTGCGGCCCATATGGTAGACAACCTTGACAATTTCTGCGAGGTAGCATAGTCGTAGAATATGGGTAATGTCAAAGTTTTGGGCAGGAACCAGACCAAACACGCACTCCGAGAAGAAAATGAAGGGATCTTGTCCCAACAAGGGCGCATAGGTGTCGATCGGCCGGCTCACAGTCTCCGTCTCCTGTCCAAAGTATTGAGAGACGAAAAGCTGTACGTGCTGGCGTTCGCTGTTTTTGCGGAACTCTCGCTCTATCAGATTGTCACCGCCTGCCTTGAGGCTGCCAGTTGCGATGTATGAGGTTGCCGTCTCAGCCAAGATGCGCAGGTGCGTGAGGCTTTGCTCAGGAATCTTTTCGAGCAACGTCAAGCCATACTGTGCCTCTGTGCCTCGCTGTTGTATCTCTGCAGCAGAAACTGAGAAGCCGACCAGCTTGGCCAGGATGTCACTGTACACCAGCTCGTTCTTCTCTCTAAGGTCACGAGGGGGGTAAGTGTGGCGAGACTCAAAACCGTTGGACGACATGGTATCGCGGAGACGACGGTAGACACGAACCAATTCACCGACAATGGTTGAGCTGTTGCTCGGCAGCGATCGGCGGTTCGAGACCGGCGTGGTGGCTGTTGGGAACACATTCGTCAATGGCGTGTTGACGACAACAGAGTCGAGACCCGAATCATCGGCCGACCAAGCTTCGTCAACTAGTTGCGACGCCTTCTCCGCCAAGGAGCTGGTGACATGTCCATCAGTGTACTTGGCGAACGACGCTTGAACTTCGTCCGGAGGACGGCTGGCGCCCAGAATGTAGTATCCTGATTTCATTTGAGTGTCGAGGAAGTCTCTGAAGATATGCTGGGATTGCAAAGGGCCAGGGAATGACTCTTCCTGGCCCTTCCAAATGATAGGCAGGAACGCGTTGCCGAGGGCTTTGCACAGAGGGCAGACGAACTCCTGTCTCCTGAGGTTCTCTGGATGGTGGCGTGCGATCTGGTGGTGATGTCGGCGATTGGTTGCGTCGAAGTACATCTCGAAGCAGCTGAAGTGCATCATATGCCCACAGCCGGTAGAGACGGGTCCAGGACGTGACAGGTTCGAGGGGAACCCCTTGCCAATCGTTTGGCGTTCCGCAGCAAACTTCTCTCCCTTCGCATTGACCTTAACGACTTCCTCGCGGTTTTCGTGGGCAACTCCAAAGGGACGGATATCCTCCGCGGATCGGTCCAGGTTGGAGGGAGTATGGAACGCCTCCCGCACAAAATCAGGATCTTGTAAGTCGGTCTGTCTGAGGACCATGCTTTCATTGAAGAGAGCAAAGGTTCCATAGAGCCGCCTGTCGTCCGTGTCCTCCTGGCAAAGGATGCAGGTCCCTGTAGGGTACTTCCAGTTATTCTTCCGATCGACGTTTTGCTCGACCTCATCCTCATCCTCAAGGTCGGAACCCCAGTCGATGTTGCCCTGATTCTCCAGGAAGCTCTTTTGTTGCTGCTGGAACTGTGCCATGACCTTGGCTTGCCGAGACAACGCCGCCTTCTTCTTCCGCTCTCGCTCCTCCTCGGCCGAGTTAGTAGCAGGCGAGGCAGTATCGATGCGGTCGACCGAGACGCCCAATCGCATGTAAGCGTTCTCGAAATTACGAGGGCGCTTCTGGCGCATTCGCTTGAGAATTAGACCAATCTTGGGGTGGCATGCCTTGAACTCCTCCTTGGTCGACATCATGTCAAGCAGAGAGACAATCGTCTTTGCAGTAGGTGCTTCTTGCATGAAGTTGCTTCGGGCCGTACGCGTCAAGGCAATGGAGACGAAGGAGCTGTGCGATTCATCTGGCATGATACTTTCGTCCTCTTTGTCTTCAGAGATGGCAATGAGGATGAGGTGGAGAACAACCTGGAGGAAAGTCTCGATGCGCGTGTTGGGGACGCCTGGTGTGAGGCGGCCAGCAACCAACGGGTACAGCAAAGAGTAGTAGACGATCTGCGCGAACATGCCCGTACCGGTGAACGTGGCCAGGTCCTTGAACAGACCAGAGGGGATGGGTCGAAGCTTGGGCTCGTAGACGATTTCTTCCACAGGCTTGCCGGTCTTGATGGCCATCTTCTTGCGGTACGCCAGCTCGGACTCCTCTCGCTGGTTCTTGTTGTAGTGAGCAATGTACGGGTCGATGTGCTCTACGAATTCAGGCTTCAGCTCAAAAGTGCCAACGTCAGACACGCCTTCAGGGGGCTTGAATGAAGCCATCTCGTCCAGGACAGCATGGAAGTCTTCTTGTTCTTGCCACTTTTCTGGCAACTTGTTGCTAATCTCATTGAACGAGAGGGGCTTGAAGCACAGAATGTGGGTGAGGTCGCGGCGAATGGCAAGGATGTTTGAATTGGGCTCATCCCCAGGGGCGATCAAAGAGGTGCGATCGCTCAGAAGCACAATCAGCAGGTGGATCATGTCTTCAACCACGTCGAGATGCTGCACGTCATCCTGAGCCGCCGACTTTTGCTCAAAGAAGCCCTTGACCCATTTCTCCATACCAAACCGGTCAATGATGGACGCAAGAACACGACTCGGATCGGCGACAACCATGGCAGTTTGAAGCAGGAAAATGTCACGGTGGTGTGAAACATCTCTCTGGCTGACTCCACGATACGTGGCGGCTTGGTGGCGAAGGCTGATGCCATTGCGCACCCACATGTTGGCCTTGATTTGGGCGAGCCAAGCACAAACACGGAGGGGGTAGTCAAAGGTGGCCATGAGGTGGTCTTCAGGGGAGTTGTCTCGTTTGGGCATCATCTTGCGACCCATGGTGCGCGGTGGCAGCCTCAAATCTTGGGTGGTGAAGCTCAGGAGAGCCTTCATGCTCGAAGCAGGCAGAGACTTTCCGCATTCGATAAGCCAGGAGAGCGTGTAGTGCAGGGCGTGGTGAAAGCTGATGGGATCCTCCTCCACGGTAAACCTGACGACCTCGTACCGAGACGACTCGTTGTCGAATTCGAAATCACCCAGCGTCTTGAACTTGACCTCATCTTTGATCTCTGCCTGCTTGAAACGGTGGCGTTCCGCGCCAACGGAGTGGAGGATCACGGCCTTGGCTGTCATTCTGATTGCTCGAGCCACGAGGTGCGCTTCATTTTCGGGAACATTTCTGAACGCATCCGCCAACTGTCGAGCCAGTCTGTTGATCTCTCTTGTCACCAGCGACGCCGTGATCCAGCTGTCTGTTTCGTACTCAACGTGTTCCCCAACCGCCCTAACGTTCGGACCAATGCCTTGGTGCAGCTTGACGAGGTCTAGGAACTGCAACAGGTAGCGCTCCTCACTACGCAGCTTCTCCTGGACATGGGGCGAACCAAAGAGGTATTTCAGGTCCAGGTAGAAGTGATACATCCGCCGGTTGGTCACTGATCCCGAGTCAAATGCGAGAACGGCGTTCGATGAGACGTCCCAGGGGTACCCCACCTGCCTAGTTGTGAGAAATGTGTAAAAGATGGCAAGCAAGCTTGTCATAAAGTTGCCGCGTTCCACAATCTCAGCGGTGATCGACGGCGTGGTAAGCATTTGCAGCGACAAGTTGATGATGGAGTGATCTGGCTCTCGGTCACCGATCAAATACAACTGCGCCAAGGTGGTGTAGAGTCCGGAGAAGCGAAGGCCGAGAATGCGCTTGAATTCGGGTATCGAGACGACCGTTGAGATGTAGAGGGATCTCAGGTCATTTCTGACCTTCTTCCACATGCGGAGATCAAAGAGGATGAGCCAATCAAGACGAACGCGTTGGAAGACATCCTCGGCAGGAGGGACGTTCTCCCGGTTCATGTATCCGGGCGGCGTTTCGAGCCAGTACCTTCCCGGCTTAGGAGAGGGGACCTTGTCTCCTTGTCCCGGCGTCTTGGGAATCTCAAGGTTGGCCTTCGCGTAGATGGCAGGGGCTATCAGAGGCTCGGCCGTATCCGAATCTGAAGGCGTAAGGTCGCGGTCCCGCGCCCGCCGGGCTGGTGGAGGTGGAGGTGGCGGGTACCCGGCCATGGTGGCTTCGTCTTCCTCCAACGCCTGGTCGTTTCCGCGCCATTCCAGGCCAATGTCGCCGGGAGCTTCGGCTCGAACATCCACCATCATGATGTCGTCGTCATCCATCTCATCGTCGTCGTCGTCGTCGCCCGCGTCGCTGTCTGGCGTGCCGTTCCCTCTGCCCATGTCGATATCTTCGTCATCACTGGCGTCAAAGGCGCGCGCTGCCTGCTGAGCCGCTATGCGCTGCATTTGTAAAAGAACGTGCTGGGTGAAAGTCTGAGATTGCTCAAGGTTTCTGAGGAATCGCTCTTCATCGTAGATGCCGTCTTTGCCCACGACAGCGTGCGTACCGGGGCTGCCCTTCCTCCAAGGCTTCATCATCTCCTGGCAAACGGTCTGCCTCAAGATGGCATGATCCGATCCGACACTGCATCCCGAAATGTCACTGAGCCACTCTATCATTGCGCCGCACATCTGCTCCCGGAACGTGTCGCGTGATGACCGGATAGTGACGGTGACTTTGATGTGCTCCAGTTTCGTGGCCATCTCGAGCAACTGATCAAGGTCATCAAGCCGCTTGAGAATGCTTCTGCCAATGAGATCCGTCTCGGTGGCGCGCTCCAAGGCCTGAGCTTCTGTGGTTCTGCAGGCTCGTGCAATTTGATTCTGCACATCCTCTACGGTGTGCTTCTCGTCGTTCCAGAGGACCAGCGCATACTCTGTGTGGTCGGAAGGGCCCTCGCCGTATGTTTCTGGAGACAGGCGCGACAGCTCCTCATCGGCGTGAATGGAGTCCAAGGTCTTGGCCTGTCGGAGCTGCTCCGGCGAGCACGAGATGACGTCGCAAATGTAGTCAAAGACTCGGCCGATTGTCATCTGCATGCTCTGCACCAGATCTTCCGGCAAACCGGCCGCTTGCTTGCCCTTGCCCTCTGCCTTATCCGGGTCGGTCTCGGAGTGGATCGTGCAGAACATCGGGACCTTCCAGGCCTCGTCGTCACCGCAGTCGCAGCAGCCGCTGTTTCCAACGGAGATGCTGATGCGCACCATGTGACCGGCATGGTCTGTCGAGTCGAAGCATCGGCTGCACAAAACGCAGGTGTCGTCTGTACTACAGGTTCGGCACGAGTAGGAGGCCTCTCCAGGCTTGAAAATGTGGCCGCATCGCTTGCCGCGGGCGGCTTCGGTGTACTCGGCGCCTTCGACTGCGCCCTGGGCGTCGTGGAGCTTGTGGTTGTGGGAGGGCCGACCGGACGGGAAGAAGAGAGGCATGTAGCGGTCGCCGCCTGCTAATGACCAGAAGAGGATGTCGAGGAGGTCATGGTGGGCGTTGTCGTCGTACTGGAAGTTCCATCTCCTAGGCAGGTCTCTGAGGCGATCGCAGAGCTGGCGCTCCGGGGATGACATGGAGGATTCCATTATGCCGCCTGGATCATGTCGGTGAGTGTGTGTGATTGCCCCAGAATTTTTTGAGCAAGGAGGCAACGTTGTGATGTCGAGACGTGTTCAGAAGTCTTCGCAAGTCGTTCGTTCGGCAGAGCAATGAGCTTTGGCGGGGTCCTTCAGGCAATGCGGCGTGGCGGGTCGTTTGTCTGCGTAGGTATGCGGTGAGTAATCTTGGCGGGCAGTGCGACAGACAGCTTGGATGCTTCTGAAGATCTGTCGAGATCCAGGGAAGGAATTACCAGCACTGACGAAGCAAAAGACTTACTGCAAGGAAGGTCGCAATATTTATCGCCGACCGTTTACGACGTGTTTCCCCTCAAAATTGTGAAAGGATAATGCAGCGGTTCAAAGGTGGTTGACAAAAGGCACGGCGGGAAGCTGGGAGGCCCACGCTAGGGACCGGGCCTGGGTTCGGTCGGTCTTGGTGTTGGTGGGGTGGATTGGATCAGTGGGAGGTCAACGACGCTGGACACCGGGACGATTGAGTGGTGGCAGGGGCAGGGGTGCCTGTGGTTTGCTGGCACATGCCGCTATCAATGTAGGTAGCTGCACGTACCCCGCTGATTGCTTGGAGCTCTTTGGGGACTGTCAAAGATAGCCTGAACAGCTGCATCTGTCAGTCAGTTGTGATTCAATCTCACTTTCCAACTTTTACGAATGCTTGCAAAAGATCGCAGACTTTGAAGCCCGGAGACAATATTGAGTATAAGTGGGGATATTCATTATCATGATTAGACATACTGCATAGTGATGATGAAAGACGCCACTCCACGCGTCTCTCACGAACTTTAACGAAAGAGGCTGCGAGTTTCAATATCTGCTGGGTTTTTGCCAATTGCTCAACTCAACCGAATCATCCCAGCCAAGGAGAGGCTTCCATTTCAAGCGACACCACCTCCTCAATCTCATCACAGCTCACCAAGTCTCCTAGGAATGCACACAGCTTCCTTGCAGCAGCTATCTTACACCTCTCTGCTTCCGACCGACTTTTTGTATCGTCATCTTCGACATGCGAAATCGTGTAGGACCAGTCAAGGAGATTCGCCATGTCCCCAACTGCTTGTCGGTCCCGGTAGATGTCGCGTCTGTCTTGCCGTGACCGCGCCCATAGCCCATCGCAAATGCGCCTGATGTTGGACGAGAACAAGTATCCTTCAATCTGAAAGAAGCCATTGAATGTCCCGTGATTGGGTGTTGTATGTTGACGGTGATGTTCGCAAGAGCCGCCCGAGCTGATGCCGAGTTCAACGCTGGCCGGATAATTGTTCTGCGTGTGTCTATTGACTTGGCCGTCTACGTACCTCTGAGTGGCTTCGAAGCATATTCGGTCAACTTGGCGCATGCAGAAGCCGTTATCTGGACCAGGATGGCGGAACTCAATGTGCAACCTCTGAGCGTTAGGTCGACGTGGTTGCGGCCCGTATGCCAATCCACGTTGAACATTCGATTCCGTATGTTGTGATTGTGCTGGCTCGGGACTAGCGATTGGCAAAGGCGCGTTCTGTAATGATCGCTGCCGTCCACGGGGGTTGTAGATGAACTCACTGGGGGACATTGGAGAGTCCATGTTGTGGGCTGAGAAGGTGACTTGCAGAGTTGGCTAACTAGCAGCCAAGGGCCCTTGGGTTGACGATACCTTAAATATGTGGGTGTAGCGGCTTGAACGTGTTCGCCGGTCTTCTCGAAGGTCTGCTGGCCGGGACGCCAGCCTAGCAGAAAGTACGGTGGGGACCTAGAAACGTAGGTTGAGACATTGTGGTATTTCATTCAGAGTTGCTATGTAGGGTAGTCTAAGTGCTCCAGATGACAATTCTTCCGTCAACACCGGTAGCTGTGTCAAGTCAGTTTCATGGCACCAAAGAGACAAAGGCGGGTGTGCAACTTACAAGTAAACTTCGTGACGTTGCCGCCTGACTCCTCATACGAACGAATTCTGGTGACGGTGTTCTGGTGGACCGTCTTGAGTTGGGTATCATCCTTGACCTTGCCCTTGAGATCCATCTGCCTGAACATGTTCAGCGCGGACTCCTCGCGGGCATCCTCGAGACCGGGGCGGCCCTTGGACTCAAGAGTTCCAGCCAGGCCCCAGCCGCCCTCACCGCCCTTGAAGCGGAAAGCCTCGCAGTCGTAGCCGGCAGCAATGATCTCGTCCTCGCTGCTCCAGATCAGGCTCATGAAGGGCAAAAGCTGGGTCGTGATGGTAACGACAGCGCGAGGGGGCTGCTCGGGCGCGCTGGGGTAGACGACGGTGATGCTGCTGTCGTGAGCGGCGAAAGCCAGAGCATTCCCGCTAGGCGAGAAAGAAACAGAGTGCACCCAGCCGGCAGAGTTGTTCAGGTACTCTCCGCAGACGGTGTTGAAGGGCAACCTTTCACCCCAGGCGGTGGGTTCCGGGCGCTGGTCGACGCCCTTGATGAAGCTGGAGAGGACTCTGGCATGGGCATCGGTAGATCCGGCGGCGAGAAGGACGGAGTTGGGGTGCCACGCGACAGACGTGATGGTGCTGCGAATGGGCTTCTTCAAGTGCTTGGAAACCCACCAGTCGTTCTCCTCCTCGAAGTAGCAGATGGCGATAACGCGGTCACCTGAACCGACGGCGAACTTGGTCTCGGACGGCGACCAGCGCACAAAGGTAGCGGCGCGGCTGATGCGGAGCAGGACGAGAGTAGGCTTGTATCCATTCGGCGAGGGCTCCCATACAAGGGCGTTACGGTCTGGCGAGCAGGTTAGCTTCAGGTACCGACTGAGGGGCTGGTGCAGGCATCGACATACCCTGGGAGCAGGAGACAATGCGACCGCTGTTGGGAGCAATGTCGACACTGGTAACGGTCTTGTCATGTCCCTTCAGCTCGTCCTTGAGCTTGAAGGAGTTGCCGGCGTGTCCATAAAGCTCAATGGTGGAATCGCGAGCGATGGCCAGCGTCTCGCGGTCGGCCGAGAACGAGTGGTCCGCGATGGGGGCGTGGAAGAGGTGGTGGACTTGAGGGGGCGCCATGATGAGGGATCTGTCTGCGATAGGAGTATAGCTCTCTACTACCGCTACTTTGTCGAATGGCGGGAGATGTCGAGGAAAGGAACGAGTGTTGGTGGAGAGGAGCAGAGGATGTTGAGAGTCGAGTGGCAGTGCGAGACGATGCGCTGCTTACCTGCCACATAGGTACATGCCCAAGGCGCTGCTTTGCGTACAATGCGGTGTACCACGGGCGGGTGCTCATGGTGGGGCAGAGGTTACGTAGCTGCTTCAGCAAAGCATGTCGCTCAGTCTGCACCGACTTCAGGCCATAAGGCCACCCTGGGGTGTCCCCTCAATTGAAGCACGGCGCTAGTAAGGAAGCTCCCGAAGGCCAAACTGCGGTGGCCGGACGAAGATCAAAAATTCAGATCGCGACAGTTACACAACGACAGACCCGCGACGCGCTCACGACCACCATTGCGAACTCTAGATACGAACCACTCCAATACTCATTCAAATCATTGTTGCGTCATCGAACTTGCAATGGCAGCCGTCGCCCCTCCTCGCGGCCTCGTGCCCAACTCATCACTGCCCGCCAAAGTTTCCCAGATCTCTCCCAATCAGACGTACGTTGACAGCTCCTGATTGCATGGCGGTGTGCTGATACTCTATAGGCTCTACGTCACAAATCTCCCGTCCGCAAAGATCCAGAAAAACGACCTCCGAACGGAGCTCTACTTGCTCTTCTCTACGTACGGTCCCGTCCTCGACATTGTCGCCATGAAGACCATGAAGATGCGAGGACAAGCGCACATCACCTTCCGCGACATCCAAGCAGCCACACAAGCCATGCGCTCTCTTGAGGGCTTTGAATTCCTCGGCCGCCCTTTGGTGTGTTTTCCAAACCAACCCGCGAGAAAGTGCGTTTACTGACCGGATACCAGTCGATCCAGTACGCCAAGTCCAAGTCAGACTTCGTCGCAAAGCTTGACGGCACGTACAAGATGCCGAACTCCACCGCCGGAGCCTCCAACATCGAAGTCACCGAGTTGCAGCAAAGCATTTTCAACGCTCCGGCGCCAGGCGAGGCCGCAGCCGTATCGAAGCCCGCTCCCAGCGGTGACCAACCCATGAGCGATGCGCAAGCAGCCGACCGGGGCCAGAAGCGGCAGCGCGACGAGGAGGAGGATGACGACAGTGACGTCGCCATGGAAGAGGACAGCGACGACGATTGAGCACCCTCGGGGTCTCGTAGTCTAGTTCAGCAAGGGGAGATGCAGGAATAATGCAGCGTGCTTCAACCGGAGGAATCCATGGCCATCTCCTTGGGCACCCAGAGCCCGACGCAACCGCCGACCAGGCCCAGCCAGAGCATCATGTACTGCTCCTTGGAACAGTCGAACCCCGACATGGCGTCTCCGAGGAGGCATGGATGAATGAAGAAAGAGGGAAGTCCCGTCAGGGGGTGATGCTACGACATGATGTGTTAGTACAGACCTACAAATGGTCTCTTTCAGAACTTATAATTGACTGGTTCACAGCTGGTTCACACTTACGTCGGCGGAGATGCCTCCGATGCCGCCCGTCTTGCGGAGGGCGTCCTTGTATTCGTCGGGTACTAGCCTCCGAAAGACTGTATCGAGATTGAAGGCTGGCTCGTCTGCCGGCAGCCCGTGCAACGTGAACCACAGGCATGGCATCCGATACGTCGGGTGCAAGTGAACCTCATAGACAACATGTCCGACGTCTGGGAAGCGCGGCTTGGAAAGGGCGGCCTGTCATCTCGTAGTGTCAGGCAAAGAGCCGCACGAGGATAGACCGGGCGACATTACCTCATCGGCCTCTTCAGCATCTATCATAGCCTCGTCATTTAATCCAGGCGCCTCTCCGTCTCCAAATGAGAACTTGTCCAGAACCGAGGAGAGATCGCCGCAGTCCAGCGTAGCTTCCAGTGGCCGGATGATTTGCAGGTAGGTTGTGTATTCAACGCCCATCGCAAAGGAGGTGTCCAACGCCGTGC